TCGCAAACAGGTCGAGACGCCGCTGTGTTTTACAAATAGTTTTTACAAAACAAACGACAAGTCAATAAGACTTCAAATGAGATTGTGATTAAAGGTCATTTCATTTGCTAATAACGTTGTTTCTGTTTAATTGCTTGCGTTTTTCCTCTTTTCTAAATAGCTTAGGATAAAAATTAGAATCTCATGAAAACACGTTCAAGTCACATTTCACAACAAAATCGAAAAAAAAAAATTTGAATAAGGAAAACAACCTATTTTTAGAATTTTATGATTTTATTCCTAATGGGTAAAACTTGCATTAATTTTGCATTAATGCAATGCAACGTTTTGTTTTGTTTTTTATATATATTTTTTTCACTTTTCACATTGCTTTTAATGGTAATTCTTATTATTGTCATAGAGTGATTATTAAAATGTAATTTAATTTATTCTGATTTTTTCCTCTATTATTTATGTATTTAACATTTTTATATATTATTTTTTAAAGGGATAGTTCATCCAAAAATGGGAGTTCTGTTATCGGTCACTGACTCTCGTGTCTTTCCAAACCTGTTGGACTTTCTTTCTTTAGTGGAACACCAGATATTTGGAAGAATGTTAGTAAACAAACTGTTTTGGTTCCCATTGACTTCCATTGAATGGTCAAAAAATATAAGAAAAGTCAAACTGTTTGATTACAAAATATCTTTTGTGTTTATCATAAGGTGAAAAGTCGTACAGGTTTGGAACGACGTAAAGAATTTCTATTTTTGGTGAACTGTCCCTTTAAGATGTGTGTCTGATAAATGCTGGAGTGTGAATGTAACGCGTCCCGTTGTTTTCCCGTGTCAGTGTTGGTGCGCATGACTCCAGACAGGTCGCCTCGCCTTCCTCATCTCGCCCACAGACTGAGTAATGGACACTGTAACGGGCTGAGATCAGCAGCACAGAGCGATGGGAACGACTCGCACACACCGTGCAACAGCACCAGCAACTCCCGCGCGCCCAGGTGAGCCAGACTGTGTGCCATAATACTGTACTAGAAGTCTAGAAACAGGTGTGTGTGTGTGTGTGTGTGTGTGTGTGTGTGTGTGAGAGAGAGAGAGAGCGAGAGAGAGTGTGTGTGTGTGAGAGAGAGAGAGAGCGAGAGAGAGTGTGTGTGTGTGAGAGAGAGAGAGAGCGAGAGAGAGTGTGTGTGTGTGAGAGAGAGAGAGAGCGAGAGAGAGTGTGTGTGTGTGAGAGAGAGAGAGAGCGAGAGAGAGTGTGTGTGTGTGAGAGAGAGAGAGAGCGAGAGAGAGTGTGTGTGTGTGAGAGAGAGAGAGAGCGAGAGAGAGTGTGTGTGTGTGAGAGAGAGAGAGAGCGAGAGAGAGTGTGTGTGTGTGAGAGAGAGAGAGAGCGAGAGAGAGTGTGTGTGTGTGAGAGAGAGAGAGAGCGAGAGAGAGTGTGTGTGTGTGAGAGAGAGAGAGAGCGAGAGAGAGTGTGTGTGTGTGAGAGAGAGAGAGAGCGAGAGAGAGTGTGTGTGTGTGAGAGAGAGAGAGAGCGAGAGAGAGTGTGTGTGTGTGAGAGAGAGAGAGAGCGAGAGAGAGTGTGTGTGTGTGAGAGAGAGAGAGAGCGAGAGAGAGTGTGTGTGTGTGAGAGAGAGAGAGAGCGAGAGAGAGTGTGTGTGTGTGAGAGAGAGTGTGTGTGTGTGTGAAGGCATTAAACTCTGGGTGGAATCAAAGGAATAGTTAAAAGAAATTAACATCCAGTCAATCATTATTTCATTCATACCCATATGCTGTTATTTATAATCTGAAATATAATAGCAGAATTTTTAACCTATTTTAATTCAGCTCAGTTCCATAGAAAAACAGTTAATAATCCATAAGCAGGACTGTTGACTTTCAAAAATGATAAAATACACCATAACAGTAGTCCATATGACTTATGTACTGTAAAGGATTAGTGTGAGAAACAGATGCAAATCAGGGTTATTATAATTAACTACAACTAAAAAAGTTACTTTAAATAAAGTAAGCATTAACTGAAATAAAGTACAAAAATAAACTTCTTTTATAGTTGCCAAGGCAAAATTTCTCATTTTCACTTACTAAAATAACTAAAAAAAAAAAAACTAAAGATGACAAAAACACACAACAAAATGAAAATAAAAACTCAATGATGCTAAAATAACACTGACTCAAACTAATCAATGACATCAAAACATTCACATCCTTTCATCACTTGGCGAGAAGAGAAGATTTCCAGACAATAATGGCTTAAATTTCTCTATATTATCTTATTATAATATGTACTATATTATCACCTAGCGATGTATTTGAAGTTGGATCTACCTGTATAAGTATTTGCAGCTTTACCTGCATACATACAGTACACTCATGTAAAGTGATATATACTGTATTGTAAACCTCAATTGCTGATTGTTTATGTTGTCACAAAATGTAATGCTCCAGTTACTGACATAACCTCGGTTCCCTGAGATAAGGGAACGAGCGTTGTGTGTATGGGGAAAACTCCTGTTTTACTCTGTACTGAAGCCTGATTTATTCACGTTTGTGTAGCTGCATAAACCAATGGCGCTTTAGCCCGCCAGAAAGGGCAGAGCCGACCTGTATATAAGTCGGCTTGCAGTGCCATTCATCAGATCATTCGACTGAAGCGACAGATTCGCACAGCTTATAGCGCGGCAAGTGACACAACCTTATCTTTTCTCAGGGAACGAGGTTACGTTAGTAACCGGAGCATTCCCTTTCGAACGTTCACTTCACGTTGTTTGTATGGGGAACGCGTACAATCACGCCACGCTATGAGCAGATACAGGATCTCCTGCTCTGCGAGCTCAGTCTCGGAGCACTAACAAGGACCCCTAAAAACCTGAGCACATTGCGCCCCAAGTTGGTAGCTGAGAGCTCTAATATAACCACTTTGCCCAAGGGGAAGAGTGGAACATCAAACAGACAGAACTTGTGCCTGCAAAGCGGGGACGTCTAAGTTATAAAATCTGGCAAATGTGGACGGCGACGACCAGCCGGCGACTGCACAGATCTCACCAATATATATTCCGCTGGACCATGCCCAGGAGGAGGCCATTCCTCTTGTAGAATGCGCCCTCACACCTATAGGGCATTGCAAAGCTTCTGATGCGTAAGCCAGGGCTATCGCATTAACAATCCAGTGAAAAAGTTGCTGCTTTGTGGCCGGCAGCCCTTTATGCCAGCCTCCGAAGCAAACGAACAACTGCTCAGACTGCCTAAACAGGCTAGAGCGCTCCAGGTATACTCTCAGAGCCCTCACTGGGAAGAGCATGTTTGGACCCTGCTCACCATCTGTAACAGGGAGCGCCAATAGGGAGATCACCTGAGCTCTGAATGGAGTTGAGAGCACCTTAGGAACATAACCATGTCTTGGTTTGATAACGACCTTACAGTCATTATGCTCAAACTCACGAGGTGCTGATCGACAGCGCTTGCAAGTCGCCCACTCGCTGAACCGACGCCAAGGCAAGGAGGAGGGCTGTTTTAAGCGATAAGGGCCGCATATCGGCCGAGCTGAGCGGCTCAAAGCAAGGCCGTCTTTGGGCCCGCAGGACTATAGACAAGTCCCAAGATGGCACGGTCTGAGGACAAGGAGGATTCAGCCTCCGTGCACCCATCAGGAACTTAACGATTAGGTCGTTCCTGCCGATTGAATGGTCAGCTTCGAGAGAATGGTTCGCTGCGATAGCTGCCACATATACTTTGAGCGTGGAGGAGGTGCGCTCCTTATCCAGCAGCTCTTGCAAAAAGGTTAGCATGTGGGACACGTCACATGATATCGGGTCCAAACTCTGTGCAGAACACCAGTTAAGGAAGACTGACCAATTTTGGCTGTAAAGCCGTCTTGTAAACGGCGCTCTCGCCTCCAAAATGGTATTGCTTACTGGCATTGCACCATACATGAAGGCTCCACAGCTCCGGCCGGGGATGCCAAATCATGCCTTTCGCCTGTGAGAGAAGGTTCCTCCTCAGTGGAATGGGCCACGGGGCTGCTGCTGAGAGCTGCACTAGCTCCGGGAACCAGGCCTGGTTCCTCCAGAGCAGGGCCACTAGGAGGAGAGAGCACTTGGTCTCCCTGACCTGCCTGACGACCTGAGGAATCAGGGCGATTGGGGGAAATGCGTATAGGCGAGCACTGGGCCAATCGTGGGCCAGAGCATCTCGCTGTATTGAGAAGTATGCAGTGGGAGTTGTCTTCTGAGGCAAAGAGGTCGACCTCTGCACTCCCAAAGACTGACCAGATCTCTTGAACCGTTTGAGGGTCTAGCGCCCATTCGCCTGGGGCTACCTTGCCTCTGGACAGCATGTCTGCGCCAAAATTCAATCTGCCTGGCACATGAACCGCCCTTAGCGAGAGGAGTTCTTTCTGTGACCAAAAGAGGAGACAACGAGCCATCCTGCAAAGAGTGTGTGACCTGAGACCGCCTTGGTGATTGATATAAGCCACCACCGTCATGCTGTCCGACCGGACCAAGACGTGGTGCACTTTCAAGACTGAAAGGAAGGTTTTCAGGGCTAAGAAAACCGCCAACATCTCTAGGCAGTTGATATGCAGGCGTTGCTCCGGGGCTGACCAGGAGCCGAACGCCGGATTGCCCTCCAACAGGGCGCCCCAACCCTTCTGGAGGTCAGGCCTAACATCATTCCTGTTTGGAACAGGCGGGAGGTCGTCCAGGTGGCCACAGCCTTGATACAGCGGTGGTCTACCCTCCAGCACCACCAAACTGGCCAGATCTGTTGCTTTTGTATCAAGTCAATTGTTCCACTAAATAACAGCATATGGGTTTGCTATGATATGAGTAATTAATAAATAATGACACAGTTGTCATTTTGGTAACACTTACAGTTAGTTCCCATTAACTAACATTAACAATAAGCAATGCATTCGTTACAGTGTTTATTAATATTTGTCTGTGTTAGTTCGTGTTAGCTCAGGTCCATTAAATAATATTAACAGACACAACTTTCCATTTCAATAATGTGTTAGTTAATTAACATGAACTGTGATTAATAAATGCTTTAGAAGTGCGTTTCATTGTTAGTTAAGGTTAACTAATGGAAGCTTATTGTGAAGTGTTTCTTTAAGTGATGATCGTGTTCTGATCATGTGACCTCCGGTCTCTAAGCCCGCAGAGCCTCCTGGATTTAGTGGAGATGGAGCAGAAACTCCGAGAGGCCAAAGCGGAGCGGGAACGTCTGCTGAAGGAGAGAGTGAGTTACTGACCGACACTTGAAGAACTGAGCCTTGGTCATCATACAGCAAAAATATATTACAGCCAAATATATGTTCTATATATTTTTGGCCATTTTTTTATATATTTTTTAAAATATATTTTAAATGTATAAATATATATTTTTTTAAATATATACAAAAAATGGCGCAAAAAAAATATTTGCTAAAATATTTTTCAGAACATATTTATGTAAATATATTTTCTACCAGAATATTTTTTGGCCATTTTTTTTTTTATAAATTTGAAATTTAAAAATTGCATTAAAAATATATTTTTGTCATCATACAGCAAAAATATATAATTTCAAAACATTCAAAAAATGTCCAAAAATATGTTTGTTAAAATATGGTTCAAAATATATTTACGTAAATATATTTTCTACTAATATATATATATATATATATATATATATATATGGCCATTTTTGTATATTTTTGAAAATATGTTTATACATTCAAAATACATTTTTTAAAATATACAAAAAATGGCCAAAAATATATTTGCTAAAATATGTTTCAGAACACATTTATGTAAATATTTTTTTATGTATTTTTGATAAAATATTTTAAATTAAAAAAATGCATTTAAAAATATATTTTGGTCATCATGCAGCAAAAATATATTATTTCAAAACATTCAGAAAATGGCCAAATATGTATGCATATGTTTGCTAAAATATGTTTCAAAATATATTTATGTAAATATATTTTCTACTAATATATATATATATATTTAGCTGTTTTTGTTTTGTATATTTTTGAAAATATATTTATACATTTAAAATATATTTTTAAAAATATACAAAAAATGGCCAAAAAATATATATATTTGCTAAAAAATATTTTTTCAGAAAATATTTATGTAAATATATTTTCCACCAGTATTTTGTTTTTTGGCCATTTTTTTTATATTTTTGATCAAATATTTTAAATCTAAAAATTGCATTAAAAATATATATTTTGGTCACCATACAGAAAAAAAAAATATTTTTTTAAATATATTGTTTCAAAACATACAAAAAAATGGCCAAAAATATTTTTGCTAAAACATGTTTCAGAATATATTTACGTAAATATATTTTCTACTAATATATATATATATATTTAGCTGTTTTTGTGTATTTTTGAAAAAATATTTTATATTTAAAAATATGTTTTGAACTCCATATATTTCAGTCCAAGAAAATGCATTCACATATGTCACATTTGAAGAAAAACTTGATTTGTTGTCTATAACACGTGTGAACATATTACACATTTGAAAGAACCTCAGCATAGAACAATTTAAAATGCTCCAAAAAAATGCAACATATAAAAATATGAAACATTATTAAATCATTATAAATCTAGCTTTGACTTCTAGTAGGTCATCCACATTTGTATTTAGCTTAAATGTATGTTTTCTTGCCTCTGAAATACATTTAGAAATATATTTTGGTAAATGAAGGTTGAAACTAAATATATAAATATATTTCATTGAGCTTTACTGTTTTCCATCTGTGCTGTTGCTCAGAATATCTTCAGCTGTGATTGGGTTGCATTTGATCACATGACTGATTGAGTTATGCAGCAGTTCAATAAACAACATTTACCTTTACTTGTATTCATTAAACAGACACTTCCATCCAAAGTCACTTAGAAATGAGGAGCATCATAAGCAGTATTCTTACACACAGCCCAGTGTTTCACACTAACTTAAGTCACAGTGATGTGAAAGTGAAACCAGAATTAATACTGAGACTAAATTTGAGAACATTTCTAAATAAAACCAAACTGGTTTGCGGTCTGGATGCAGGAGGAGCGACTTCTGGCAGAACAACGCCGAGAGAAAGAGCTGGAATCTGTCCAAATGCAGACGGATGCACGGAAAGCAGAGCTGCACGACGAGGAGCGACTGCAGATCAACTCAACACACAGAAACCTGGAGGTACTTCTGCTGATTATGAGACGACTTTACCCAAAAATCAACATTAGCTGAAAATATCCCCACCTTCAGGTCATCTGAGATCAGGATGAGTTTGTTTCTTCATCAGATTCTGAGAAATGTAGCATTGCATCACTTGCTCACTGCAAGTGAATGGGTGCCGTCAGAACGAGAGCTGATAAAAACATCACAAGTAATCCACAGCACTCCAGTCCATCAGTTAACATCTGGAGAAGACACACGCTGAAACAAACCCAGCATTAAGACATTTTCAACTAAAATACATAGAGTCCATAATCCATAACTCTTCCTCCAGTGAAAAAGTGTTCTGGTGTGAATCAGGAGAGAAATCTGCACAGATCAAGCAGCGTTTAAACAGTTCTAAACAAATGTGTGGCTGGATTTTGATGTGAGAGACAACAGCAGATGACCTTTTTCACATTATTATGGATTATGGACTCAATGTATTTTAGTTAAAAATGTCTTAATGCTGGATTTGTCTCAGCTTTTGTCTTCTCCAGATGTTAACTGATGGACTGGAGTGCTGTGGATTACTTGTGGATTATTGTGAGGTTTTTAATCAGCCGTTTGGACTCTCATTCTGACGGCACCCATTCACTGCTGACGATTCAATGGTGAACAAGTGATGCTAAATTTCCTCAAATCTGTTCAAACAAACTCATCTACATCTTGGATGGCCTGGGGATGAGTACATTTTCAGCAAATTTATTTTTTTGGATGAACTGATCCTTTAACATAATGACTTCACT